CCGAGCTGCCACTGAGTTGACAGAGTCGGGGCGTTCCCGACCCGCGGAGCTTCCCGGGGGAGCGGAGCCTCCCCCAGCCGAGGGCTGCGGTCCCGGCCGCGGTCCCGTGCGTGGCTGCTCCTCTGCTCCATCACCTCCAATTATTTTGCACCAGGCAGCCCATGTCCCACCAGGTTTGCTTCGTTTGTCTGGAAAATGATGCAACCTCCGGGGTCAAACGCTGCCGCTGTTCGACAGCAGAGAGAGGCCGAGGCCGAGGGTGAGCCCGGGCGGGAGCTGGCAGATGCTGCAGGTGGGGATGGCCCTGGGGAGAACCGCCGGGATGCCGGAGGTGAATCACTGCTCCGAAATAACGGACACATGCGAGCGGTTTCAAACGCTTATAAGTTATTTAGGAGCCCATGTGCCGCTTTTTGAAGTGATTTACATAAATCCTTTGAATGTTTTACACGATCTGTGAATGCGCCGGCTCCGTCGGGCGCCGCCATGGGGGATGTCGGGGCTCAGGGTGCCCCCGGGGACGGGCTCCAAACCGGGAGGATGTTACGTGGGGCCAGCGGCCGGCCCTGCTGCCCACGAGTGGCCCCCAAGTTGTTTTTCCAGAGCCAGATGGGCCCGTGTGGTTTGTTTATTGACTGTCTAAAGCTCCAGGAAATATCTGGGTATCAGTAATTCCCGCGCCCGGTCTCTCCAGCTGTGTTGGAGATGCTTTTCACTCCGGCTCTATGATTATCCACTAACGCTGCGCCGCGGGGGAGCTCTGCTCACCGCGGGGCTCCCGGCCTTGTGACTGCTGCAGCTCCGTGCCGGGCCGTGGGGCGCTGGGGGCCGGACGCCTGGGGGCCCAGTGGGTGCTGGGGGGTGGGTCCCGTGGGGCTGAGGGTCGAGGTGGAGCTGCGAGACCAGCAGCATCCCCTGGCTGGGTACCCGCAGACCCGAGTGCGCCCCGCTGCAGCCCTCCCTCCCAGCTCCCAGGGGTGCTGGGGTGTCCCAGCACCAACGGGGCAGGTGTGAAGGACATGAGGGGTTTTTTTTCAGTGGGGCGGCAGCAGCTGAGCCCCAACGCACACCAGCTGGCCTGTGGTGGGCTCAGCAGGGGGTTCAGAGGGGTGCAGAGAGGTTTTGGGGGTGCAGAGGGACACCGCAGGGTGCGGAGGGGTGCAGCAGGATCTGGTGGTGTCCAGTGGGGCTCACCAAGGTGCAGTGGGGTTCAGAAAGGTGGTGGGAGGCTCAGCAGGGTGCAATGGGGTGCCGTGGGGTGCAGTGAAACACCGCTGGATCCCTTCTCTGTCCCAGAAGCCCCCACATTGCTCCAGAGATGGGAGGAAGGAGGGGAGGAGGGACTGCTCCAGACCCTTCCTGCTCCCTCCCTTGCTCTTCCTCCGTGTGCTCAGTATTTCCAGGGCAGAGAATGAAAAAAATCCGATGCAAAAGGCAGCGGCATGATCTCCATGTCAAACTCAATTCTCCCTAGTGCCACCTCAGCCCTGGAGCCTCATGGAAACGGTCCAGAGGTCTTAATCCTCTGCAGTTTACGGAGGGTGTCCCGCGCGTGCTGCCCCACGGCTCCCAGCTCCCCTGCCAGGCTCGGCCACCCTGTCCTGACGCAGGACGGTGACGAGGAGTTGGGGACGTGGCTCTTCCCCGGGATGGGATCACGGGGTGTGAGAAGGAAAAGCTGCCACCGGCCGTTGCGCCGCGCCAGGCACGGCTGCTCCCGTCCCCCCCCGGCTGCACCGGCCCTCGGGAAGGGGCTTCGCAGGCCTGGGGCACCGTCCCCAGGTTTATGTGGGGCTGCCCCAGTTTCCATCCCACGGGCCATACTGGGGTGGGGAGAGGAAGCTTATCCTCTGGGTTTCTCTTTTTTCCCGGGGATGGAAAGAAAATTAATGAGGTTTAGAGCCTGGAGACAAGACTCCTGGGCCTTTCCCTTGCTGGGCGAGGGGCAGATCAGCGCGGGGTGAGCGGGGCTCCGGGGGCCCTTTTCCGGCGCGGGGAGGGAGAGGAAACGCAAGCTGGGAGCTGGTGGGGCCGCGCGTTCCCGCAGAGGAGAGAGGCCTTGAACTTATAAATAATGAAGTAGCAAGCGTGAAACATTGATCTTTGCTGCTAATGAGCACGTCGGGGAGCGCAGTCCCTAAACGGAGAGAGCAGAGAGGGCGATTCCCCCTTCCCTGCAACGGGGAATGGGGCGGCTCCCCCTGCCCACCCCATGTGTGGCCCTGTGGCTCTGGGCGTGGTGACAGGGACATCCTCAGCCCGTGTCCCTCGAGGCTGTGCCCTGAGGGGGGGTCAGGACTTGCCCCTCAGCCTTCTGTTTGCCCCGCTGGACTTTAAGGCCGTGCCAGGATTTCGGGGCTGGGGAGAGGAGAGGGCTGCTCCTCCCTGTGCGTCCCCCTCCCCGTCCTGGACCGCTGCAGTGGGGGAGCTTTGGTGGGTGCCAGATGCCCCCATGGTGCTGGGGGGGCTGGGAAGAGCCAGGGTGAAGCTGGGGTGGGCCAGTTGTTTCCCCCTGGGTCTTCTTAGAGGGTTCAATGCCCCACACGAGACGAGGCCCAGCCCGGTCAGCTCCACCTCTGTCCCTGGAGCATCCCCGCATCCTGCCCCGGCTGCTGCTGGGGAGCACCCGGCCCCTGCGGTGACCCGGCCGGGGGGGTGGAGGGGGACGCACAATGCCAGGGACCCCCCCGACATGGCCTGGCGATGACACGGGATGAAAGAGGAGGTGGGAAAAGCCCATATGATCCCGGGATGAGTTTTCCCACAAACCCTGTGTGCTGGGGGATCCCGTCCCAGCTGCAGGGTGAGGGGGCTGAGACCCACACCCCCCCCCAGGGATGCTCCTGGGTGGGTGCATCCCCGGGGGGCACCCAGGCAGTGCTCCCAGCACTGGCGGGGGGTGGAGGCCTGGGCTGCTGCAGCTGCCCCCCCCCGGCGATGCTCTCCCACCGTCCGGCAGCGAGGGGAGACGCGGGCAGGAGGCAGCTCCCGCCGCCTTATTGTCACCCCGGATATTTCGGTTACGGCAGCCCCTCATTTGCATTCGCCGCGTCGCCCCCCCCTCCCGAGCCCTCCCTTCTGCCGGGGACAGATAACGTGGCAGCGGCGGCCTGGCGGGGCCGTGGTGCTGGCGGCAGAACCGCGGCTCTGCCCGGCACCTCCTGCGCCGGCCAGCATCAGCATGCAGCCAGCATCGCCCGAGCGGCCACTGGCCCCCCAGCCATCCCCACTGGCCCCCCAGCCGTCCCCACTGGCCCCCCAGCTCTCCCCAGAGGTCACGGCACCGAAGTTAAATGGCTGCACAGGGGACAGGCGCAGGGAGAGGACCGAGGGGTGTCCCCGCAATCCTCCCTGGCCAAGGCCATCGCC